CCTGTCGCACAAAAAATCTGTCCAGCAAGGCCTGTTTCTGGCATCTCTTCAAAATTTGCCTAAAATGGGACATGGCATTGTCATTGAACATGTTGCTGACACGGCTTGCAACAGCTTTGTTAGGGTGATATTCCTCCACAAAACTTTGCGCCTCACTTCACTTTGCACAAATGTCCTTAATTGCTGAAGAAGGCACATTCTCCCCTCTCTCTTCCTCCTCCTCTGAAGCAATTTTCTCAGGTAAGGTCTGTTGCTGTTCCAGATGAAGGTCTTGTTTCGGATGATTGTGTGGAGTAATGCTCACTGAACGAGTAACAAAGGCAGACTGAGTCACGAATGTATGAGCAGCTGCGTCCCGTGGGCAGGCGGACGTGTCTGTAAGGACGATTTCTTAACAGATGTACAAAAACGGGGAAAATTTTGCCGAAAAAGTGGTCGAAAACTGAATTGTATGATAACTGGACCAGATGAAAACCTGGGTTCTACTGTAGTATGTTACAGGATAATTTAACCTAGCACAATCCAGTAAAGTCAAGCAATGTAAATAAACTTACTTTAAATTCTGTTTTTTTTGATTAAGTGGCCTGATGTTAGTGGAGAAGCTTAGTGTGGTTCTATTGGGCCTCATATCAAGTGGCAGGGGTTCATTGGATGAGTGGATGGCTGGGGTTTGTTGGCTGAAGTGGATGGTTGGGGTTCCTTGACTGAAGTGGATGGCTGGGGCTCGTTGGCTGAAGTGGATGGTTGGGATTTATTGGCTGAAGTGGATGGCTGAAGTGTATGAATGGTCGTTGGATGAAGTGGATGGCTGGGATTTGTTGGATGAAGTGGATGGCTGGGATTGACACAGTTGTTACTTACGGGAGCCCTGAAGTTTTCTGTTGTGTGTTTGTTGTGTATTTTATAGCTGATGGTAGGGTATCAGCTGCTCCAGACCCCACTTCAGAGCAGTGCTTCTAGATGTGCCAGGGTCCTCTTCAGTGAAAAAAGCCTGCAAATTTAACAGCAACATGGAACTGCTCACATAACTATTGTAGTGTTAACAGTTTCTCTGTAGGCTACTCCTCTTCCTTAACTTTTTCTACAAAAGAATTCTGGCCACAAAATAGAGCGAAAAACCAACGTCAAAGGCCTGGGAGTGATCATGTCGGAGGATCTCACCTTCAAGGACCATAACATTGTATCAATCGCATCTGCTAGAAAAATGACAGGATGGATAATGAGAACCTTCAAAACTAGGGATGCCAAGCCCATGATGACACTCTTCAGGTTGCTTGTTCTATCTAGGCTGGAATATTGCTGCACACTAACAGCACCTTTCAAGGCAGGTGAAATTGCTGACCTAGAAAATGTACAGAGAACCTTCATTGCACACATAACAGAGATAAAATACCTCAATTACTGGGAGCACTTGAAGTTCCTGAATCTGTACTCCCTGGAACGCAGGCGGGAGAGATACACGATTATACACATCTGGAAAATTCTAGAGGGACTAGTACCGAACTTGCACACGAAAATCACTCACAACGAAAGCAAAAGACTCGGCAGACGATGCAACATCCCCCCAATGAAAAGCAGGGGTGTCACTAGCACGTTAAAGAGACAATACAATAAGTGTCAGGGGCCCGAGACTGTTCAACTGCCTCCCAGCATACATAAGGGGGATTACCAATAGCCCCCTGGCTGTCTTCAAGCAGGCACTGGACAAGCACCTAAAGTCGGTACCTGACCAGCCGGGCTGTGGCTCGTACATTGGATTGCTTGCAGCCAGCAGTAACAGCCTGGTTGATCAGGCTCTGATCCACCATGAGGCCTGGTCACAGACCGGGCCGCAGGGGCGTTGACCCCCGGAACTCTCTCCAGGTAAATTCCAGTCCCTTCTATCTGGGAATTCAGCTCTGCCAACACTTCCCCTGGACTTCTTTCTTCCTTGTCATCTTCTAAGAGTTCATTGATGTTTTCTGACAGCAATGTATCCAAAACCCTCATTTGGCAATCTCCTTGAATGCCTGAATGACTGTCAGTAAACTAACACTTAATATAACCAAAACCTTTCACATTATGTTTGGGAGTAGAGCAGGTGAGGTCTAACTAAACACTGTGCTTAACAACACCCTTATTGCTAAACATAATGAGGGAAAATTTCTGGGTCTGCACCTTGACAGCAACTTGAAATTCAACACTCATATTCAACCCATAACAAAAAATAGTATGTAAAACAGTTGGCACCCTTTCAAAGATGCATTACTATGTACCACAAACAGCTCTACTTAGTTTCCTCAACTTGACTCTTAAATGAGGGAGAACCTAAAAACTATTCACCACGCTAGACCATAATTTTCCCCAGCCTGAATTTATTGCTGATTGAGGCACATTTTCCTATACAGCTTTGATGTAGGGTAATGCATCTTCAATGTTGAAGTTGTGCCAGAACTCTGGCTCTCCAAGCTCTGAGTCATTGTCCATTGCTGCAAGAAGTCTCTGCACTTAAATGTTCAAATTACATCCTAATACACTGGTTGTATCAGTAATGTTATATTTGTTGGTAAAAAAAAAAAAAAAGCCTTTACATTTGGGTTCAAATTCTGCAGCAGGTCAGGACGAGCACAGGAATTATCATGAGTCTCGAGAATCTTAATGGAAGGGTCTTGCTTTGCAGATAAAACATAACTTCAGAGATAAAATTATGCTTGAACCAGTCAACAAATAATTCATCTGCCATCCATGCTGACTGGTTTGACTACCAGGAGATTTTTTGAGTGATAACCATTACTGCATAAAAGAAATAAAAAAAATTGAATTTGAATTCAGAAGCACCTTTTTCTTGCTTGCTGATGTAAGTTCTAGAAGGCATCTTACAGAACAATCCTGTCTCATCAGCATTAAACACTTGCTCAGGTGCTTACCCACACTCAGAAATCATTTCCAGCAACTCAGCTGGACTATACATTATGAAACCTTTTGCACACACTAAACCAATTAAACTATCCATGACTGAAGGTACACTTATTTACAGGCTTTCCTTCCTACACACACTTTTATAATAAGATAAGGCTTCTCATGGATCACAAGGATATTTAAATGATGCACATTTCTTTGTTTTCTACTAAATCCAGTCTTTAGGCATTTTTTCAGTGTTATTTAGCTGTACTGACCACTTCTCCGTCACAGTTTCGGTTACTCATCACACAGGCTCTTATCTTCTACCATTAAACAAGAGGCCTGAGGCATGCGGGAGGGAAATTGACTTGCCTGTGTCACTGTGATGGTTGGCCCTGTTGGTCAGAGCGCAGGTGGTAGACGGTAGAGCCACTGCGATAGGTGGAGACCCTATGAAGCGTAAAGTGGAAATAAATAAAAAAATTTTTGCCATGAACAGACAGAAATGCAATAGGTGGAGGCATGAAAGGTGGTGGTGTACCGTACATAATAATAATAATAATAATAATAATAATAATAATAATAATAATAATAATAATAAAATCTTTATTTACTACAAGTACATATACATGGTATACAGGCCTAGCAGACATCAATGACATTTACTATATGGAAAGCCCCTTGTTATGCTGAGCATTTTGGGCAAATTAGGTCAGTGTCCCAGGATGCGACCCACACCAGTCGACCAACACCCAGGTACCCATTTTACTGATGGGGAAACATTGATAACAGGTGGAAAGAAACACGCCCAATGTTTCTACTCTGGCTGGGAATCAAACCCAGGCCCTCGCCGTGTGAAGCGAAAGCTTTAGCCACCAGTAAGAACAGACTGTATATAACCATTGAAAACTCCATTATGTAGATTTAACCTAGAATAAAATCAATAATTTTGATACCTACATAATTCTAACCTCATAATACTTTGATTTTGATTAACCATTTCTACATATGAGGTTGTTACGAGTAGTCTGGGCATAGATAGTTTGTGCTTCATTAAAGATACAGTACTGTAATTTAATTTAGTCTGTAAACATTAGGATTAATCTGCCTGAAATGCACAGCTTTCTTTGTGCTTAACAATATTTTATTACATGTAAACTACATTTTGTATATGGCACAAAGAAAAGTTTGTTTGTTTAGCTATATTACTCCTAGCTTCTCTAATTTTTGTAGTACTGAGCATCATTCAGTTGTGAATAAACTTATACCTACTACTGTATTTAGAAGACTATTACAGTATATATTATTGGATTATAATGTCTGTACTTCTGCAAGGAGAGCTGATAAGTGATGGTAAATGTTTGCTTCTTTGGGTCACCCTACCAAGTTAATTCATATGAATACAGTACTTTATATCTGTTCAGTCCATAAGATAAGCATCATTTCCTCCTTGTAAAGGCTTTTGTTTTTGAATAAATTCTGGTACCACACCTTAGATATCAGGCAGTGTTAAGGAGGTATGACATGGGTTCCAATTCCCATCCATGGTGAGGTCAGTTATTTGTAAAGAATTATGTAAGAAACATTCATCTTGTATGCAGTTGAATTCAGTGTGGCTGGGTTCAAAATCCTTCCATATCTCTTGGCTTTGCAGCATAATTAAGAGTTGTTGGTATCATATGGTATGGTATTGGTATATAAAGTATATTGTATTTAACCCGTAAACGGTCCAAACGTATATATACATTTTTTCAACATTTGAAAGTATGAAAAAAAGTAGATCTTCTTTTTGTTTTTTTACATTTGAAAATGTGTAAAAAAACGTAGATCTACTTTTGTAGCACTACACATGTGAACGTAGATCTGCTTGGACCATTTACGGGTTAATATGCAAAGGTAATTTATATTAAAATTAAAGATTTGTACAGTATACAAGTATCTGCAGCAATTTTACATAATTGTTCAAAATATTACATAATATATGTAAAACTTTACTTCCTGCATTATTTATTAGAGAATTAATTTTGTTTAGGCTGTACACTGATAATTGATTTTAACATAATTTAGTATTATGATGTGTTACATAATTTCACAATTACAGTTTACATAACTCTTTACAGCATATGGCAAAGTGTTCCTGGTAAGAAAAGTTTCTGGTAAAGATGCTGGAAAATTATATGCCATGAAAGTCTTGAAAAAGGCAACTATTGTCCAAAAGAAAAAGACAACGGAACACACAAAGACAGAGCGCCAGGTGCTGGAGGCTGTGCGACAAAGTCCTTTCCTAGTTACACTTCACTATGCCTTCCAGACAGATGCCAAGCTTCATCTTATACTAGGTTAGTAGTTTTTATTGTAATAAAATTTATGACAATCACCAGCCAATTTTGTAATACAGTGGACCCCCGCTTAACGATCACCTCCAAATGCGACCAATTATGTAAGTGTATTTATGTAAGTGCGTTTGTACGTGTATGTTTGGGGGTCTGAAATGGACTAATCTACTTCACAATATTCCTTATGGGAAAAAATTCGGTCAGTACTGGCACCTGAACATACTACTGGAATGAAAAAAGTTCGTTAACCGGGGGTCCACTGTATATTCTTCTTTCAACAAACCAGCCGTATCCCACCAAGGCAGGGTGGCCCAAAAAGAAAAACGAAAGTTTCTTTTTTTAAATTTAGTAATTTATACAGGAGAAGGGGTTGCTAGGCCCTTGCTCCTGGCATTTTAGTCGCCTCTTACAACATGCATGGCTTACAGAGAAAGAATTCTGTTCCACTTCCCCATGGAGATAAGAGGAAATAAACAAGAACAAGAACTAGAAAGAAAATAGAAGAAAACTCAGAGGGGCGTGTATATATACGCTTGTACATGTATGTGTAGTGTGACCTAAGTGTAAGCAGAAGTAGCAAGACGTACCTGAAATCTTGCATGTTTATGAGACAGAAAAAAGACACCAGCAATCCTACCATCATGTAAAACAATTACAGGTTTCCATTTTACACTCACTTGGCAGGACGGTAGTACCTCCCTGGGCAGTTCCTGTCTACCAGCCTACTACCTTGGATATATATATATATATATCTTTCTTTCAACACACCGGCCGTATCCCACCGAGGCGGGGTGGCCGAAAAGGAGAAACGAAAGTTTCTCCTTGCACATTTAGTAATATATACAGAAGGGGTTACTAGCCCCTTGCTCCCGGCATTTTAGTTGCCTCTTACAACACGCATGGCTCGGAGGAAGAATTCTGTTCCACCCTGCCTTGGTGAGATACGGCCGGTTTGTTGAAAAAAAAAATATATATATACATGTATATATAATGTATGTATGTATGTGCAGAACAACCACTGTGAAAGAATAATGAAATTCCAAGCGCTTTCGTGAAGTCATGAAAGTGCTTGGAAAAGGAAATTGCCCTCAACTTGTTTGCCTGCTGTTCGTTGCTTCAAGAATGCAAGGCTTAATCAGGTTTTTGCCAGTGGTATGAGGCTTCTTGGTTTGTGTGATTTATAGGGCAATTCTGTATGAAGCCTCCAACGCTGCATCATTCTGACAAGCCAAGTAACTAGTGACCTTCAGAGAAGCTTCTTTTCACTTGAAAAAGTCCAAGCTTTTGTCCACCAGATGGCTGTGGCAAGACTCAAAATGGACCTTCAGTTTGCTTGGTTTCATACTCTCGTGACTCAAAACTTTGGTGCAAACAATACATTGCGGCTTGACTACATTGTATGTACGCTTCTTGGGAGACATAGTGCAAACAGGAAACCGCCTTGGGCATCACGGAGCAAGAGTGACATATGGACATCCCCAACCATAGCTATGAACTGAATGAGTGACTGGTTGAGGTTGATGTGTTACTGTAGCAGGCCACCGCACGTGTGATCAGTGTTGCCACTCGCCAAACTGGTAAAAGCCCAAGTGGCTTATTCAAATACATAAATTATATTCTCCCGAACCCTTTGTGACCCCCCGAGAAACCCCAAACGACCCCCAGGTTAAGAACCACTGCACTAGAGGAAGTAGGCTATGTCAACAGATTGGGCCAGTTGTTGGCAATAGAGTTGTAGAAGATATCATTTGTACCAAGATTATACAATGTTACTGTGGCCCAACTTGTATGCATCACCTTCTACTAGTGGGTTCCTGCCTCCAATGATGCTGACTCAAACTGATCACTTATCAAGGCTAAAGGACCAAACACCTTAAAATTACCCCCAATTTTTCCAAGCTTATGTGCATTAAATTTAAAAAAAATTCTACTGCTCAGGTGAACTGCCTCATCAATAACAATGTCCAGATATTCCTCTATTCTTCTATGCCAAGCCCATGATGACACTCTTCAGGTTGCTTGTTCTATCTAGGCTGGAATATTGCTGCACACTAACAGCACCCTTCAAGGCAGGTGAAATTGCTGACCTAAAAAATGTACAGAGAACCTTCATGGCATCCATAATGGAGATAAAACACCTCAATTACTGAGAGCACTTGAAGTTCCTGAACCTGTACTCCCTGGAACGCAGATGGGAGAGATAAATGATTATATACACCTGGAAAATCCTAGAGAGACTAGTACTGAACTTGCACACGAAAATCACTCGCAACGAAAGCAAAAGACTCAGCAGATGATGCAACATCCCCCCAATGAAAAGCAGGGGTGTCACTAGCACGTTAAGAGACAATACAATAAGTGTCAGATGCCGGAGACTGTTCAACTGCCTCCCAGCATACATAAGGGGGATTACCAATAGATCCCTGGCTGTCTTCAAGCAGGCACTGGACAAGCACCTAAAGTCGGTACCTGACCAGCTGGGCTGTGGCTCGTACGTTGGATTGCGTGCAGCCAGCAGTAACAGCCTGGTTGATCAGGCTCTGATCCACCATGAGGCCTGGTCACAGACCGGGCCGCAGGGGCATTGCCCCCAGAACTCTCTCCAGGTAAACTCCAGGTATTCCTCATGTTTCTTGTTCATCAGTTTTTGGTATGGAAAATCTCAAATACAGTGGACCCCCGGTTAACGATATTTTTTCACTCCAGAAGTATGTTCAGGTGCCAGTACTGACCGAATTTGTTCCCTTAAGGAATATTGTGAAGTAGATTAGTCCATTTCAGACCCCCAAACATACACGTACAAACGCACTTACATAAATACACTTACATAATTGGTCGCATTTGGAGGTGATCGTTATGCGGGGGTCCACTGTATAATTTAATGTAGTGTACAGTGATTGCTCTCTTAACTAGCCTCTGCTTAAGTGGAATCACAGTAGCATTTGCTTGACAGTTCAGATATCAAAACAGTGAACTGTTCAGTAATGATTAAAAAAAAAAAAAAAATCATCTAGCTCCAGAACAAAAGGCCACAATTGCAGACTGACCAAAAGTGTTGTCAAAAGGCTACTAGGATGTTGTACTTCAGAAATAGTGGAAGAACTCTTGGTATAATACCCAAGAGGAAGGATTAGTTTTTTTTTAATTGACAAACTGATAACAGTGACTGAAACAGTAAGCATACCTTTGATCATTTAATTACAAATGTTAAAGCACACACAAGAGTGTCCAAACTAGTGCTCGAGTTGAGAATAAGCTATGAAAAATGCAAGAGCTAGTCCTTAATTCATTGAAGAAATGAAGATAATGTATGATCATGATATTCATAAAACAGGAGGCATAAACAGTAGATAAACAAATTGTTTGTCAAGGATGAAACACGAACAAGGAGGCGTAGTTTGAAATGACACACTTAAATGAGCCACAGGAATATCAGAAAACATTTCTTCAATATTAGAGTTCAACATGTGAATGGTAATGACCTGAACAGTAAGGTAGTTAAAGGAGATTCCATACATTGGTTAAAAAAAACAGAGGAAGGGATATTTCCATCAATCAGTGGAAAGTTAAGCAGTATGACCAAAAGCCTGAATTCAACCCAGAAAACTGAAATAGATTATAGACACAAATACAGTGGACCCCCGGTTAACAATATTTTTCCATTCCAGAAGGGTATGTTCAGGTGCCAGTACTGACCGAATTTGTTCCCATAAGGAATATTGTGAAGTAGATTAGTCCATTTCAGACTCCCAAACATACACGTACAAACGCACTTACATAAATACACTTACATAATTGGTCGCATTGGGAGGTGATCGTTATGCGGGGGTCCACTGTACTTGAACACTCACACTGCAAAATTTTCAAAGATCTTATAGAAATTTATAGTAAAATGGAATTTCCCAGAGTATACTGTATAGAACTTCATTAATTATGTATACATATTACACTAGATCGCTAATCATTAACACTTAGGATTGGGGCACATTGTAATAATCCATCTGCTGAAGAGGACCCCAGCAGGGGATCAATGTATACAGATCAATTAATTTTGTGAGTTTTTGTCTCCATGTGGATTATTTTTGAGGATTTAATTACTTAACACAGAGTCACCCTTCTGAATACCAGGACTAATTACAACCATGGAAATATCACTTGCAATGAGCAAAATGGCATTATTGATCAGTGTAGAAGGCTGCACTATACTATATTGTAGCACTTATTTTCAGTTAACAATTACACATTAAACATTGCTTGAAAGTACTTACAATTGAATACGAACAGTACTGAAAAATAAAGAAAATTATATTTGGAATATTATGGTTCTGAAATGCATTTCAACATGAGTGTGGACATTATTTTTGTACTCTTTTTGGCAGATTATGTTAGTGGTGGAGAACTATTTACACACCTGTATCAGCGTGAAAAATTTTGTGAGGATGAAGTACGTCTCTATATTGGAGAAATCATCCTTGCGCTCGAGCATTTGCACAAAGTAAGTTTTGTGATGACATGTTAATGATATATATTCAGTATTAAATGATTCAAGTTAAAATGATTTTAATATCTTGTTAAAACTGAGTTCTGAAGTTCTTTCTTCTTTCTTTCAACGTACCAGCCATATCCCACCAAGGTGGGGTGGGCCAAAAGGAAAAACGAAAGTTTCTCCTTTCAAATTTAGTAATATATACAGGAGAAGGGGTTACTAGCCCCTTGCTCCCGGCATTTTAGTCGCCTCTTACAACACGCATGGCTTACGGAGGAAGAATTCTGTTCCACTTCCCCATGGAGAGAGTTCTAAAGTTATTGATTTGAATTCAAATATTATTTTATGACCAGAGGTTCACATAGTCTTGTCATGTATTTTGAAGCCAGAGTATTTGGTTAAGAGTTTGTAAGTACAACCTGATGCTATTTTTTTAAATGAGGGTGGTGGTAATATGTGAAGGGCACATGTAGGTACGTACATGCATGTGCACACAAGTAATAAAAATAATAATAATAATAATATTTTACATTTTTTACAGCTGGGCATAATATATCGTGACATCAAACTAGAAAACATTCTCCTGGACTCTGATGGCCATATTGTGTTAACTGATTTTGGCCTCAGCAAGGATTTTCTTTCTCATGACACAGAACATCGTGCCTACTCATTTTGTGGTACTATTGAATATATGGCACCTGAAGTGGTTCGTGGAGGATCTCATGGGCATGACCAGGTGAGAGAACTGCCTCGCCTCTCAGTAACTTCAGTCATTTAGCTGAGAATCGAATATGTGCAATGTATGTGTACTCTGTTTGAAGTATAATTTTATCCTAGTGTTGATAGTAAATAAAGAATCTAGAATATGAATAAAACAGTAAAGTTGTGTTGCAGGCAGTAGACTGGTGGAGTGTGGGGGTTTTGACTTATGAACTTCTCACTGGAGCCTCACCATTTACTGTTGAAGGAGAGAAAAATAACCAACAGGAGATCTCAAGGTATATAATGAAATTAAGATTATTGTAACTATTTTGTTAAAAGTGTGAATTTACTGCAAAGTTTTGTATATCATAATTAAAATAGTTCAGTGTATGTTGCATGTTCTTCTGTAATGCTTAAGCTGTTAGTGTATACAGTAGGCACAGGAATAAAAATGCTCTACTGTATATGGTATATAAGGTACACAAAGTATACTCCTGACTATACCATCTTTGAAAAGAGTTTAGGAAAGATATTGCTATTACAATATACTATACAGTATATAACTTTTTTTTAACAGACGAATTTTGAAAACACAACCACCGCTACCAAGTGAACTGTCCCCTGAGGTTCGTGATTTCATTTCTCGTCTACTTGTAAAAGATCCTCGTCAACGGTTAGGAGGAGGACCTCTTGATGCTAAAGAAATCAAAGAGCATGCATTTTTTAGGGTAAGTGAAGAAATGTATATATGTACAGTCAAGCTTCAGCTTCAAGATATAGAATACCAGAATGGTCTGCTTAAACAAATTTTCAAACCATGTCTCAATTGAAATGCGAGTTCTTTCAGCAGATTTGAAGCAAAAATGAACTTGAACACAAACTAGAGGTCTTCTTTCAACAAACCGGCCATATCCCACCGAGGCAGGGTGGCCTAAAAAGAAAAACAAAAGTTTCTCTTCTTAAATTTAGTAATATATACAGGAGAAGAGGTTACCTATCCCCTTGCTCCCAGCATTTTAGTCACCTCTTACTACACGCATGGGTTATGGAGGTAGAATTGTGTTGCACTTCTCCATGGAAAAGCTAGAGGTATATCTAGTCTAAAAAATGTTTGTGTTTTGAGCAGAGAATCATGTAAGGCATACAGGACTGACTGTTTTTCATCCTCTGGTTCTGGAGGACTTTTTAACAGTAAATCACAGATTACAAAATCTACGATTTTTTATTTTTTGCAAAACACTTGGTGCCAGTGTCAAGAAGCTCAAGCTTGATTACAAATGGGTTTTTCAAATATGATAATAATGCATGAGATTCGCCATCACAACCACAAAGTTTAATAAATATTATGTCTGGAATTAACTAAAAAATACAGTTGACAGAGGCAAGCCATGCAGTTTGGAGGAGCAGATGTGATACAGTGGAACCTCTGTTTTCGTAAGCCCTAGGTTGTATGTAACACTATAGTTATTCTCTACAAAATGTATTTTTTGGTAATATTTTTGGGTGTCTGGAATGGAGTAATTGGATTTACATTATTTCTTATGGGAAATATTAACCAAAAATACATTTTATAGAGAATAACTATAGTGTTACATACAACCTAGGGCATACAAAAACTGAGGTTCCACTGTACCTCATAGATGAGTGATTAAATATTCCACGTAAGTTGATAGACCTGTTGAAATTTGCAGCAAATTGACTTGTATATGTAACTACTCTGACAAATATATTATTAATACACCTACCATCCGACTTACGACCTGCTCGACTTACAACCACTCGACTTACGACCGTGTTTTTTATGCCAAATTTCTGGGAAATAAACAACTTTTTGTGTTGTACGAAGTGTTTATCCTAAACCTTACAGTATAAAATACAGTACTAACAGCATAAAAAGTAAAGTAAAACGTGAAATACCAAAATAAAACAATAAAATAGTCATTACAAAAATGTTTTGTTGATATTCAGTAGTAAAGTTCGACTTACAACCATTTCGACTTACGACCGGTTTCTCGGAACCGAACTCGGTCGTAAGTCGGATGGTAGGTGTATACAGTACACAATTTTAATAGTTTTGGCACTTTACTCGCTTTATTGGCATCAAAACATCCCTGTATATTCAAGTAAACATTTAGTTAAGTATGATCAGTTATACTGCTAAATCTTTAGGCATTTGTATTAGTAGTTATAGAGTGTGTATTACCTGAATACCATACAAGCTATTTATTTATCCACAGAACTTAAACTGGGATGACCTCGCTCAAAAAAAAGTACCTGCACCATTTGTACCCAGGATAAGTGATGAGTTGGATGTTAGTAATTTCTCTGAAGAATTTACAGCCATGGTACCCCAGGATTCTCCAGCAATTGTTCCTCCAGATATTGACAGAATCTTTAATGTAAGTTATCAACATTTCTTCCAGATACTTTTCTGAAAAGAGTTTTGTTTTGATGTTTTCTACAGTGCAGTCAGTTACGTACTGTATATTAAGTTTCAGCATAAAGCCCATTTTCTCACTTTATAAATAATCCAGTCACATGAAGTATTTTAAATTTGGAAAACTATTATTATTTTTTTTATTATCACACCGGCCGATTCCCACCAAGGCAGGGTGGCCCGAAAAACTATATATTTAAAAAGGGAAATTCATCTTTTACATTTTAATTGTGCTCAATTCAAAAATCTAGTCCCTTTAAATTCTGGAAAGTACACACAAAAGGAAAATTAAATGTTTACCTTTAAATGTGTTGAAAACTGAACTGAATATAAATTACTGTACAAAGGGTGTGCAGGAGAGAGAGAGATTACTTCCCAGTAAAAGTAGGTCTTAGACAGGGATGTGTAATGTCACCATGGTTGTTTAGCATATTTATAGATGAGGTTGTAAAAGAAGTAAATACTAGGGTGTTGGGGAGATGGGTGGGATTAAATTACTGGGAATCAAATACAAAATGGGAGTTGACACAGTTACTTATTACTGATGATACTGTGCTTTTGGGGGATTCTAAAGAAAAGTTGCAAAGGTTAGTGGACGAGTTTGGGAGGGTGTGTAAAGGTAGAAAGTTGAAAGTATCAAATGATTTAGATAAAGAAAAATTGGATATCACATTGGAGGGGAGGGAGTGTGGAAGAAGTGAATGTTTTCAGATATTTGGGAGTTGACTTGTCAGCAGATGGGTTTATGAAGGATGAGGTTAACCATAGAATTGATGAAGGAAAAAATGTGAGTGGTGCATTGAGATATCTGCAGAGACAAAAGACATTATCCATGGAAGCAAAGAAGGTAATATATGAGAGTATAGTGATACCAACACTTTTATATGGGTGTGAAGCATGGGTTGTAAATGCTGCAGCAAGGAAGTGGCTGGAGGCAGTGGAGATGTCATGTCTAAGGGCATTGTGTGGTGTAAATATTATGCAGAGAATTTGTAGTGTGGAAATTAGGAGGCAATGTTACTAAAAGTTTTAGTCAGAGGGCTGTAGAGATAAAGGAACAAAGTAGAATGACTTGGAGAGAGTATAAATCTGTAGGGGGAAGGAAGGTGGGGTAGGGGTCGTCCCCAGAAAGGTTGGAAGGAGGGGGTAAAGGAGGTTTTGTGGGCGAAGGGCATGCATGATTGTGTTAGATAAGAGTGAATGGAGACGAATGGTGTTTAGGACCTCACAAGCTGTTGGAGTGTGAGCAGGGTAATATTTTGTGAAGATAAAGATAAAAGATAAAGATTTTATTTCTTCGTAAAGGTTACATTGTGTAATTACACTTCTGGTTTGCTAAATACAAAGAAAACCACTATCGTGCTGGGGCATTTTGAGCAGACTGATCCTAGTAAATAATAACTACTTAAATCTAGACAAGTTAAGTGGTTAACTTTTATTAAAATCTTTATTTAATCTTAATACTAATGCGAGGTAGTCAAGGTGGAGGTTGTAAGAATAATAATCTTGAAGTTGCACATAATAAAAACTATTACTATTCAAGCAGTAATATTTCATGGATTAGCAGATATTTAGCAGACTAAAGGTCATATAATAAAATACAGTACAATAACTGATTAGAATTGAGGTAGTAGGTTGGTAGACAGCAACCACCCAGGGAGGTACTACTGTCCTACCAATACCAAGTGAGTGTAAAATGGAAACTTGTAATTGTTTTACACGATGGTAGGATTGCTGGTGTCTTTTTTCTGTTTCATAAACATGCAAGATTTCAGGTATGTCTTGCTCCTTCTGCTTACACTTAGGTCACACTACACATACATGTACAAGCATATATATACACACCCCTCTGGGTTTTCTTCTATTTTTCTTACTTGTTCTTGTTTATTTCCTCTTACCTCCATGGGGAAGTGGAACAGAATTCTTCCTCTGTAAGCCATGCGTGTCGTAAGAGGCGACTAAAATGCCGGGAGCAAGGGGCTAGTAACCCCTTCTCCTGTATATATTACTAAATGTAAAAGGAGAAACTTTCGTTTTTTCCTTTTGGGCCACCCCGCCTTGGTGGGATACAGCCGGTGTGTTGAAAGAAGATACACACCCCTCTGGGTTTTCTTCTATTTTCTTTCTAGTTCTTGTTCTTGTTTATTTCCTCTTATCTCCATGAGGAAGTAGAACAGAATTCTTCCTCCATAAGCCATGTGTGTTGTTAGAGGCGACTAAAATGCCGGGAGGAAGGGGCTAGTAACCCCTTCTCCTGTACAAATTCAGATAAAACTTTTGTTTTTCCTTTTGGGCCACCCTGCCTTGGTGGGATACGGCCATTTGTTGAAAAAAAAAAACTGATTAGTAGTTGTTTTGGTTGGTTTTGTTAGTATTGAGAGAGAAGATGATTTTTAAGCAAAGTCCTAAATTTATCATTCAGGGGATCCTTTACCAATTCAAGTAGTGAATTTCAGATCTTCAGGCCCTTTTTGTGCATTGCATTTTTGCACAGTGTGAGACTGACATGAAGGATGTCAAAGAGTGCCTTATGTCTTGTATTGTGATTGTGCGTTCTGTTGTAGCGATCAAGGAGAAGTTTAAGTGGAGGGTTTATATTGGAGTTGAATGTTCTGTATATGTAGTAGGCACGATAATATGAGCGTATGTCTCGAATATTTTGAAAAGCGGTGGGATGTGCTGCCTAACACAGGAGCTAGTAATCATCTGCACAGCAGCTTTTTGTTGGGTTATTAAAGGTTTAAGGTGGTTGACTGTGGTTGATCCCCAGGCAAAGATACCATAGGTGAGGTAAGGATATATTAACGAGTGGTAAAGGGTAAGGAGTGTCGGGATTCAGGGAAACTGGTTAGTCAAACTTGAGTCCTGGAAATGAGAAGTACAATGCCTGCACTTTAAAGGAGGGGTTTGGGATATTGGTAGTTTGGAGGGACATCTAAACTGTCATATCTGAGCGCCTCTGCTAAGACAGTGATTATATATGAGTGATGGTAAAAGCGTTGAATGAAGGTTTTTTTTCATTCTTTCTGGGTTTTTCTTTCTTTTTGGGTTACCCTGCCTTGGTGGGAAACGGCTGACATGTTAACAAAAAAAAAAAATGGAATTCACAATAGATCATATCTTCTCAACAGGGTTATTCCTATGTTGCTCCATCAATCCTCTTTACTGAAAATGTTATCAGTGATTCTCTGTACAAGATGTCACCGGACAGAAGACCCTCCACCACAAACCTCATGGCTTGCAGTTTCAAGGTTAGCAGTTTGAAGATTATGTTCCCTCTCAAGGGAGATTCCTTAATATGAATGAGGGGTGCTTATAGCAAGGAAATGGATCTGTCCTCCCTTTCTTGGATTAAACCCAGTTGCCTCTCATTTCTAAACTCCAGTAGCTTTAGCAGTCCTTAATTTAATGTAATAACAATAATAATAATAATAATTTTTATTAGGAAAAAAGAATTTATTTTTAGGTTCATTTTTTAAAAATTAGTGACTTGAGTGCTTTGCTACATTTGCAGAGAGAATCCATTTTCCCTGTGATATTCGATTAGTCTTTATATTATAAAGTTGTTCAAATATTTCCCTCAGTATAAAAGAATGTCTGAAAAGTGTGAAGATTGCTTTAGCAAGTCTATACAAGTGAGAACAAAAAAAAAAACAGTACACAAATAACCCACACAGAGGATAGGAGACAGAAGCTTACGACTTGTAGGCCCAACTTGGACCTACATGTCATCGTAATCCTTATCAAAGACAAGGATTAGAAAAGTAGTACGTGTACATGTATTCATAATGGAGGTAAGAAAAATTCAGCAGATAATGATGATGCTACTGTATTTTATGACCAAAGTTCATATAATAAGAACCATCAGTATGGTTCTTGTTTTTATGTATTTTTCCTTTCATCTCCATGGGGAAATGGAAAAGAATCCTTCCTCTTTAAGCCATGCATGTCATAAGAAGTGACTAAAATGCTGGGAGCAAGGGACTGGTAACCCCCCTTCTTCTGTATAAATTACTAAATGTAAAAAGAAGAAAAATTTTTCTTACTTTTTCAAGTCACCCTGCCTTGGTGGGAGACTGCTAGTGTGTGTGTGAAAGTATATTATTCTTGATGTATAGGTACAAAGTCATTTCTTAAGTAAACAGGATACATTATAAAATTAAAAACAAAGAGTTATACTTTTTTCTATATCTTAAGTTTGTTTGCATTGAAAATGCATTCATTGTATGTAATACAAATTTCACATGACAAGAAAGTAATTGTGAAATGTTTAGATTAACAAATATGAATATTTTTCAGGATTCGGCATTTTTCCAACATTATGAATTGGACCTACGAGAAGGTATACTAGGAGAGGGCAGCTTTAGTGTGTGTCGAGAATGCATCCAGAAGTCAACTGGGAGACATTTTGCTGTCAAGATAGTTTCTCGGAGGTTGGATTGCCAACAAGAGATTAATCTTCTACGTGCATGTCAAGGACATTCCAACATTGTTACCTTCCATGAAGTGTTCTATGATGAAGTAAGTTATTTTAATTTGGTAATCCAAATCCAAATTTACTCTAATTTATTGTACAGCTGATTACAAGGCCTAAAACAATAAGACAAGAGTAATAAGTATTGTAGTGTAAGAACTACATTAGAATTATGTTACTAGAGTATGTCAAGGAAGGTGTAGTTATAACTGAGATGGTAGAAAATTAACAATGTAAAATACAGCCTCTCCTCACTTAACGACGAAGTTCTGTTCCTAAGACCATGTTGGTAAATGAATTTGTCGCCAAGTGATAAGCATATTGCAATGATAGTGGGTTTGTGTCAACTATCTTTGATATTGTTTTAATGTCATCTTTGCACCATTTATAACATTATTAGTATATTTTTAAATGTTTATACAGTACTTTACTGTATATTGTAACAAACAGAATAGAGGAAATTAGCTCTTAATATAAACTAATTAGGTTTGCATACTGGTAAGAGAGCCCGTTGTAAGTCTGAGTCATTGGTAAACAAGTACATCGCTCAGTGAGGAGAGGCTGTACAGTGAGGTGCCAGAAGGTTTTAGAAATGGCAGAGAATGTGCACTGATAAATTTGATTATTTCTGTGGTGTTCATATACTACCAGTAAGCAAGTAAGTTTATTTAGGCATAAGTACACCTAAGTACAATTATCATAAAGTGTAAATACCTAGAGTAACCCCAAAAAGATCAAAATGACTTATTTCCATTGGACCCTTGTAATATCTTATTATTTAAACTGATGTGGTAGATTTTGAAGATAGTATAGGAATGGAATTAATAAGTTTGCTGGAATATATCATAAGAGAAGATGAGATTTGTTGGGATTTTTAACACGGAGGGTTAGCCACCCAGGATAACCAAATAAAGTCAGTGTCATCAAGGACTGTCTATATGATATCCATTTGGGGCCTTTAATCTTGTCCCCTAGGATGTGACCCACAACAGTTGACTAACACCCAGGTACCCACTAATTACTAGGTGAACAGGGACATTAGGTGTATGGAAACATGCCAAATGTTTCTACCCATGCTGGGATTGAACCACAGACAGTCAGTGCATTTTCAACTGAGCCACAGGATACCAGTAACTAAGTTGGTTTTTAAAAGGCAGGACAGTGGACTTACATGTATGAGATCAGTACTGTTCTAACTTTAAAGAAGAAGAAAGGTGACATGAGACACTAGTATCAGGGATTTACCACAGATGATAAATTCTTTCTCTCCCACAGAGAGAAAGTATTCCATCTTGGTATTTCATTGCCCTGTTGTAGTAGGGCAATGAAACCAATAAACCTAAAATTCAGGCTATTAAATAAGCTGTTAAAAGATGAATTAAGCAGAGTAATGTATTAAAAAATGCATAGAAGGTGGTGGAGGCCATAGAAATAAATGTGGAAACTTTTGCCAGCTGGTGGCTTCTTCAGTCCAAAACAGAAAAGATTATTAAATCTAAAAGAATAAGAGAAGTATCCTTAAAGAAGAACTCTAAAATCTGGAACTCCCTGCCCGAAAACTCTACAACTGCAGACTCGCCCACCATTTTCAAAACTATTGTTAAAAATCACCTTATCTCCCTAACACACCCCTTCATCAGCTAACTATGTGAAAACCACTGATTCTTTTTTTTTTGTATTATGAACACGTCCAAAACAAAATAGACTTACTCTCATTATCTATAATTCCCCCTATTTTACACTAACACTCACCCAAATGACTGTAAACATAAAATTCCTAATACAGTGGACCCCCGGTTCGCAATGCTAATCCGTTCCTGAGAGCTCATCGTAAACCAAAAATATCGGAAAGCGAATCAATTTTCCCCGTAAGAAATAATGGAAATCAAATTAATCCGTGCAAGACACCCAAAAGTATGAAAAAAAAAACTTTTACCACATGAAATATTAAGTTTAATGCAATAGAATAGTAATTACAATAACAACAATAACAATAAATAGCAATATATAACGAAAGAATAATTCACACTTACCTGTAATGAAGATCTGGTGATGATTGATGGGATGGGAGGAGGGGAGAGTGTGGATGGTGTTAGCATTTAGAAGGGGAATCCCCCTCCATTAGGACTTGAGGTAGCAAGTCCTTTTCCGGGGTTACTTCCCTTCTTCTTTTAATGCCACTAGGACCAGCTTGAGAGTCACTGGACCTCTGTCGCACAACATAACTGGCAGCCTCACCATGCCTAATCACACTATGTATGCCACTATAATTCTTAAATCTTTCAAACCAACTTTTGCTGGCCTTAAATTCACTCACATCACCACTAGTTGCAGGCAATTTTTTTACCAAATCGTCATGCAACTGCCTAGCCTTTTCACAAATGATTGCTTGAGAGATGCTATCTCCTTCTATCTGTTTTTCATTTATCCACACCAATAACAGTCTCTCAACATTTTCTAACACTTGCAGTCGCTGTTTCGTAATCACAGTTGCACCTTTTGCAAGAACAGCTTCCTTGATTGCCGTTTTCTTGCTCACTATGGTAGAGATGGTTGATTGGGGTTTACTATACAACCTGACCAGCTCCGACACGCACTCCACTTTCGTACTTTGCAATTATCTCTTTCTTCATTTCAACAGTCATTAGCACCCTTGGTCTCGAAGGGTTGGCACTGGGAGCTTTCTTGGGGCCCATGGTGACTTATTTTGCAAAAACAGGCACCAAAAACAGTGATAATATGGATAATATGGAATGTACTGAATGTATCCTTAGATGCGCGCACACTGGCTGGCTTGTAAACACTGGCACACACGGGGCAGTTCAGGCCACATGTGGACACGTGTCGTACGAACCACATCGCATACCGGGTTTTGTATCGGGAAGCGAGGCAAATTTTCTGCGATATAATGCATCAGTTACCGGATTTATCGGATACCGATAGCATCGCGAACCTGGGGTCCACTGTACTATAGTTATTGCCTAATAAATCTTGAAGTTAATCCTAAACTTCCCTGAAATACTCTTCCAGTATAAGAACTTTTATAGAAACTGTATCATGCCAAGATAAAACCATTCCCATTACTAAATTTACTAATTGTAATATTGTTATATGTTTTGTACTACAGTGGAGCCTCAAAAATCGAACATATCACATATTGAACGTTTCGAAAATAGGACCATTTTTTCGGACAAACTGTGTCCCTATTATCGAACGCGCCCCTATTTTCGGACTGCCGGGTACGGGACCTGTCTGCCGCCCGCTCTGTCCACGTCCCCGCGCAGGCGCCGTGAGCAGTCTAGCTTTGTTTATGCTTGAGTGAACACTAACCTGTGCTCTCATTCACGCATTTTACGATTATTTTGTTGTGTTTAGTGCTTGTGGGACTGTGAAATAAGCTGCCATGGGCCCAAAGAAACTTGCTAGTGGTACCCCTGTTGTAAAGAAAGTGAGAAACACCATAGATGTGAAGAAGGAAATAATACAGAAGTATGAGAGTGGTGTGAGACTTGTTGAGCAAAGTGAGAAACACCATAGATGTGAAGAAGGAAATAATACAGAAGTATGAGAGTGGTGTGAGACTTGTTGAGCTTGCCAAGATGTATGGGAAAAACAAGTCGACCATCAGTTCTATCCTGTCAAAGAAAGAACAAATCAAGGAAGCTGATGTTGTGAAAGGTGTTAATATAGGGAGTGGATGAGGTGCCTTCTTCAAAGATTAAGGAGATTTGTGCCAAGTGGAATGATGTCCAAATGTTTGTGCAGAAGTACCACCCTGAGCAAGCTGAAACAAGCCATCTTTGCAACAAGTTCAGTGACAGAACCATGTCCCATTTTAGGGAAATGTTAAAGAGGCGCCAAAAACAGAGGACTGTGGACAGTTATTTTGTGAAACAGGGGTCCAGTGACTCTCAAGCTGGTCCTAGTGGCATTAAAAGACAGAGAAGGGAAGTAACCCCAAAGAGGGCTTTACCTGAAGTTCTCATGGAGGGGGATTCTCCTTCCAAACACTAACCCCAACTCCCTCTCTCCTCCTCCCTATCTTCCAGATGCCATCACCAATCTTCAATAAAGGTAAGTAAAAATGTTATTTTATATGTATTACTATACATAATTAAAAACTCAGACTTTTCGAATTTAGAACTAGCTCCTGGAACGGATTAAATTCGATTTTTGAGGTTCCACTGTACCTCACTATTATCAATCTAATTAATGTTAATCACTTCAGTTACCTAACCTTTGTATCAGTATGCAATAATGTATATTAAAATATACTGCTCCATAACCTCTGTCAGTATAGAGTAAGAATTGGGCTTAGTCTGCCCAAAATGCCTAGGCATGCTAGTGGCCTTATTTGTAATTAATATGTGACCCTGTGGCCTGGCTGGCAAAGCTCTCACTTCACATATGGAGGGCCCGGGTTCGATTCCTGGTGGGGTAGAAACATTTTGACGCGTTTCCTTACACCTGTTGTTCTGTTCACCTAGCAGCAAGTGGGTACCTGGGTGTTAGTCGACTGGTGTGGGTCACATCCCAAAATTCCTTCTATCTTGTGCCAACTGAGCCCACGGAAGTCACCGAGATTATAAAGTCACTTAAAAATAACTCAGGGAATCTGTCTCATGTCCCACCATTATTGTACAAGCGAGTGGCCCATGTCCTTTCGCATGCTATTTCATTACTTTTTAACAAGTCACTAACTAGCACCTTCCCGAAACTACTCAAGACAGCAAGGGTTACACCAATACATAAAGGTGGTGACCCTACAGATGTAAACAACTATAGACCAATATCAGACTTACCATTGCTATCCAAAATCTTTGAGAAACTCGTGCACAGGAGACTATATTCATTTATAATGGCACAAAACATACTCAACCCCTGCTAGTTTGGATTCAGGAAAAATAAAAGCACTAATGATGCAATTGCAAAAATGCTAGATCTGCTTTACACAGCATTGGAAAATAAGGAATATCCACTAGGAATTTTTATTGATCTAAGAAAAGCTTTTGACACAGTAAACCATGGCATCCTACTCCACAAACTT